CACACACACACACACACACACACACACACACACACACACACACACACACACACACACACACACACACACACACACAGGACGTTTGAGGCGGTGATCGTGACGTACTTCCTCATCCCCACGCTGCTTATGCGGCTGCGGGCGGGACCCCTGGGCCCGTTCTTGGGACCCCTTCTCGTGTTCCCAGCTGCAGCGGTCGCCGCGCGTTGTGTTCACGACATCACCACTCGGGCCGGCAGCGAGCGTGTGGTGAGGAAGCTGGCAGAGTGATGCGCTGACAACGGCGCGGCGCGCAAGGAAGTGCCGTTGCAACGGCGCGAATCAGAATTCGTGCGGAGCATAGCAGGACCGGTCAGCTGCATGTGCAAGTGCAGTGTGTCCCGCAGCTCTGTGTCGGGACTGCGGTGCGATTTGCCGTCAAGATTCAGGTAATACAGACACTTGTTTTTTTAGGCGGGATGAACATGGATGGATGGATGGATCAAATGATGGATGGATGGACAACTATGTTTTGACGAGCTGCCCACAATCGGATTTTTCCCTCAAATGTTGGTGGTAAAATCACTACAAGCAAGGTTGCAAGCCTGATGCCCTGTGCAAATGGTGGCATGTAGCAGTACATTTCGGGCTGTGCATGCTGGGGTGCAAGGCACGTAGGCACAGACAGCCCTCACCAGCTGGTGAGCGAGGGCGCGTGCAGGCCCAAGCTCGAGGCGGCGGTGCCGAGATCCGTGCACACCAACGCGCTGACTCCGGTGTTGTACCGGTGACTTGGACATTTGGATGCCCCATTATACTTTAGTCAATCCTTTATCTCGCGTAAGCCAGCCCAGCTAAGACATACGCAAGTCTGGTGCCTGGCTCCGACGTGAGCCTCCTGTGGATCAGCGACATGCCCGACTAGCATATAAAGCATTCTATGAGTTTTCTTGTGCGAGACGCATCCCACCGCTGGTCTGGGGGTGGCCTCGGGCGGTCCTTCGTTCACAGACGCCGCGAGAGCCAAGGTCAGCACGCAGAGGCGGTTTGGCACTCTGAGTGAGGTCGAACAGCGGATGTGGGGCCACGGACATCGAGCAAGGCTGTGTGCCGAGCAGCGAACGTAATTGCGCAACATGCGCGGGCGACAGCGCTGCAGCATACGCATGCATGCTGTCTGCAACACCCAGCCGCAACGGCCTGCCCCTTTTTGTATTGTTGCGAGCGCGCGGGGGGCGACACACTTTGCCACCGTCCACAACGCCTCCTTTCGTACCATGCAGGGGGTGGTGATGGTGACGCAGGTGGTGGCAACAGCGGCAGCGGTGGCGGTGGCACGGGGCCCACTGAGGATGGCTCGTCGTCCGGCTACCTGCTGGCCGAGGTGCGTGAGGCACGCATTGCTGTGGCCGCTCTGGACCGCTACCTGTCTCATGTCACCAGCTTCAAGGATGCCGGCTTTGAGCTCGTCGAACAGGCGCACCTGGCAATGAGCAGGTTGGAGCAGGTGCGTCAGTCACAACGGGCTTGGTTTGCAGGAGCTGCCGGGGCAACTGCGGCATGGAGGCCTGTCGCAAACGCAGCTTTTGCCTACGAGGCCCTCAACGTGCGTGTGTGCGCATGCAGATTGACGAAGATGGGCGGGGACATGCATGTTGAACAGGCGCCGGGCCGGCGCAGGCTGCAGCCAAGTATGTCGTATACACGCAGTTGCCAGCAAGGCCATTGCAATCCCCGATATGCGCCTCCCGCGCGCTGACAGGCGGTGGCGACACGCGCCGCCCCCGAGCTGATTCTTCTCGCGTGCGAGGTCAAGGTGGCGGCCCGGCGGGGCGCAGACCTGCTGAGGACATACGGCCAGTACCACTTCCTGGGCAAGCTCGTGGCAGTGGCGCAGCGCAGCAGGGTGGAAGGCAAGTACACTAAGGTCACGGAGCGGCTGCGCAGCCTTATGCCATCCATGGCGCCGCCGCACGGCGCCCCGTTGACTCCTAAAGCTGCTGCCATTGGTGATGGCGGCAGCAGCGCCAGCCCGTTCCAGGCGGCCGCCACCGGCGGCAGCGGTGGCAGCGGTGGCGGCGTGGCAGCAGCGCACCTGGCGGCTGGAGGGAACTTGGCACGCCCGGCGGTGGTCAGTCGAGGGGGAGGTGGCGGCGCTGACCCCAGCGTCGTGCACACCGCAGCCATTTGCGCCGGGCAGGTGCTTCGTGAGGGGCGCAACGAGCGCGTCTTCTCTGTGGCGTTCGCGCCTGCTGCAGTTGCTGCGGCCAGCGGCGGCCTGTGCGTGTGGTGGGCTTTGGAATCGTGCGTAGAGTTCTACTCTGACGCAGCACAGAGTACCACGAGCTTTGCCACCGAGGGCAGCGTGTTCTTGTCCTGCGTGGCCATCGACAATGCTGGCAACACCTGGGGTGGCACCAGCAGCGGCACGCTGCTGATGCGGCGGCCATGCGTGTGGGACAGCCAGGCAGAGGAGCGGCTGTTTGCCGGCGCAGTTCGCGCAATCACGTTTGATCCCCACACTGGCACAGTCTGGGCCGGCGATGAGCACGGCTGCGTGCGCGCTGCCCGGCTGCAAGATGACACTGGCCGCATTCACCTGCTGCTGACGGTGCTTGCTGGGCGGTCATCGCGGCGTGGGCTCTCCGCGAGCTCCCTTATCGTTGCCCCCACCAGGTATGTGGATGGCTGGAGATTTTCAAGTTGATTGGTGTTCGGGATGGTGATAGGTTGGGGACAAGCTGTGCATGACCCCTTGTTGAAAGGTGGCTTCTTCACGGTCAATCTTGCGTTGCCTTCGCATCTGCAGGTTGCGATTTGTGAGACGGGCGGCATCTGACCATGCCTCGGACGAAGGTGCCCCTTCCCTGGAAGGCCCCGTGCGCTGCTTGTTAGTGCATGACGGCCGTGTCTGGGTGGCAGGCGGTCGGTCGGAGCCGTGGATTGCGCTGTTCTGCGCCAGCACAGGTGGGAGGCTTGCCCGTCGATGTGCGCATGATTCTGAGGTGGACCATTGCGTGCAAATTCTGGCCGAAGTCAAATGAGATTGTTGCTATCTTTACCTGTACTGCGTGGGGGCACTCGATGCAAGGGCATTTTGACTAGAGCGATGCCTGCCGTTGCTGGGCGGTTGCCAGTTCCTCTCGTGCATTGCGCCTTGCACTACGGGTTCTATTCCAGTATTGTTGCTTGTTGCTGTCATTGCGCTCCCAACCCTCAGGCGACCAGCTCGACATCTGGCGGTGTGGCAACCGCGCGGCCTGCAACACGATGCTTATGATCCCATGGGCACGGGCCTTCTCGCGTGGCGCAACCAGCAGCGGCATGACCAGCGCCGCCAACAGCTCTGCCCTCGGGGCTGATGCGCGAGCCTGGAGCACTGGAGGCGCGCCGCTGCTGGGTGGTGGGCTGCCGGCCCGCGTCCCTGAGGACGGCCTCATTGATGACTCGCGGCGCAGCTGTCAGCTGCTGACAGGCCATGACAATGGCCAGCTGCTGGTTTGGAACGCCGCTTCTGATCGACTGCAGCCCGTCTGCAAGCTTGGCGAGGGAGGCGCCTCGGTGCGGGCGGCTGCCAGCCTGGATGCATGGGGCTTGGTCTGCACCGCCCATGCAAATGGCGAGATTGCGATATTCGCGCGGCCATCGCAGGCTAGCGAGTGGGGCGGCGGCGCCCTCAGCAACGCAACATCACAGGGGCTGGTCAGCGGTAGTGCCAGCGCCAGCAGCAGCTGTGCGGGCACTGCGGCCACCCCACCGGCGCCCAGTACCAGCGTTGGGATCCCCTGCGTGCGGCCGCGGCGCGTGGTGCTCCGGGCACACCGCAACAGCATAGTTGCAGCAGGCGGCTCCACCAGTGGCCTGGCCACAGCATCAAACCAGGGGACGCTTCGCCTCTGGCGCGCGGCTGACCTGGCACGCGAGGCAGACAAGGCTGGCCTCATACTCAGCGGGCCCCTGGGCCTTGCCAGGCGTACCACAGTGTCAGCCGCGCTGTCGGCTTCTGAAAGGTGGGAAGGGACATGGGTTGCAGTTGAGACAACTGTGGCGTGCACACTCTGCATGCTGGGTGAGCAAAGCTGGCCGCCAACTAGCTGCAATGGGTCTATGACGCACCAGAGAAGCTGAGCACAGCTGCATTGTCGTGACCACACTCCATTTAACCCCCACCGCAGTGCGCGGTCCCCGCTATTCAGCCGCCAGACGACCGTGTCGACCGACGCTGGGGTGCAGCAGCACCCACTCAATTCCCTATCGAGCGGCCTCTCGTCCAGCGTATTAGGCTGTGCGGACCACGCGCAGAGCGGGCCAGCAGCCACGCTGCGCAGAGGCACTGGCGAGGATGCGCCGGCTGGCGCAGTCAATGGCACTGCTGCCACGACAACCAACATCAGCCAGACTGTGCCAGAGGCCTCGCTGCCCCTGTTCCACCACCACCACCATCAGCAGCAGCAGCAGCAAGAGGAGGAGGAGGAGGAGGAAGGAGTACAGGGGGAACAGCCGCAGCAGGAACAAAAGCAGCAGCAGCAGCAGCAGCAGCAGCAGCGGCGGCAGCAGCCGCAGCAGCAGCAGTCGCCGCAGCAGCAGTCGCCGCAGCAGCAGCCGCAGCAGCAGCCGCAGGAGCAGCCGCAGCAGCAGCCGCAGCAGCAGCTGCAGCAGCAGCCGCAGCCGCAGCCGCAGCCGCAGCAGCAACAGCAGCAGCAGCAGCAGCAGTCGTTGGAGCAGTTGCACGAGGAGGAGCCACTGGCCACGGCTGTGACTGTGTTCCTGCCGCGGCAGCAGCAGCCCCAGCCTCAGCAGCAGCTAGAGGTGGCCGCTTTCCAAGCATCGAATCAGCAGCCAGCGCCATCTGCACCCTACCAGCCTGCGAGTTCTGCTTTTGACCCCACCTTTATGATACCGTCTCGTCCGGCTTCTGTGCCAATGGCCATTCCAGGGGTCGCAGATGCTGTCCAGCAGCCGCCAAGTCTGCAGCTTGCTGACGACGGGTCATCCAAACAAGGTAGCCTGCCATGGCAGCAGCGCCCGTCGTCGCCGCTTGGAGGCGAGGCTGCCAATGCTTACGGGGCGGCGGTCACGGCGCCTGTCCTTGCGCGGCGCTCGTTTGGCCCGTGCAGCCCGGGCGGCTTCTCACCCGCCGGCTCGCCCACTGGTGCTGGTCCCAATTATGGCAGCGGCCCGGCTCTCGCCCCGCGCAAGCCGCGTGCGCAGCGGCAGGTGGACGCATTGCAGATGGAGAGTCGAGAGCGGCGCAAGAGCGAGCGGCGGCTGAGCAAAGGCGCTCAGATCGCGTGGAGCACTTGTCAGATTATTGAGAGCCGTGAGCTGAAGCTGACATCAGCCATTGGCGCTGGTGCCTACGGCAAGGTGCGCTGAGCTATGCTCGGGGGTGGAGTGCAACTGGCACTTATGCATTGCTGTCTATTTCTCAACATCATGGATGAGCTGCCTGCCAACGTGCACACGTCTGCCAACATTTTTATGGCAGATGGTTGCGGCAGGTGTGCATTTCCCTTCCATCTGCATTGTTGTGGCCTGCCCAGGTCCTGTCATCCCATCCATTTACGGGCTGCCCAACTTCTGTTGCTGCAGGTCTGGTTGGCCGAGTGGATGGGCACCCAGGTGGCGGCTAAGGAGTTGCTCTGCCTGACTGATAGGGCCAAAGATGACGCTGCACGCAAGCGGCGCGAGCGCGGCAAAGAGGAAGGCGATGGCGCCAGCGACAGCGGTAGCGACAGGTGCTTATTGAACGAGCACGTCGTTTTGCAATGCACGCCATTCTTGGTGGTGAACATGGACGAGCTGTTATGAAGCGCCTTCTCGTGCCACCTAACTTGTACGCCTATCTTGCTAACCCATGTATGCCGTCCGTTGACACCGCACAGCCTGACAACAGCGCCTCTCCCCCCTTCCCCTTTCCTTGCACACGGAACCACCAAAGCAGCGACGACAGCATTGATGCTGAGGTGGTGGCTGAGCTGAAGGAGCTGATGAACGAGGTCTTCCTGCTGGGCAGCCTCAGCCACCCCAACATCATGCGTTTCTGCGCCGTCTGCCTGGACCCCCCGATGATCGTGACGCAGTACTATCAGCACGGGTCGCTCTTTGAGCTGCTCAAGAAGGCACGCCGCGGCGATCGGCGCGCCGCAGCGGAGCTGACATGGTCCAAGCGCCTCGACATGCTGCGCGATGTGGCGGCAGGCATGGTGTTTCTGCACTCGCGCCGCCCTGCAGTGGTGCACGGTGATCTGCGGTCACCCAACCTCCTGCTGGATATGGCTTTCGACAGGTGGGATGTATGTGAGGTCGGTACCAAGTACCCCTAAACCTTGAACACTAGTCTAGTGGGGTCTTGTGGTGCACAGTGACCTCTGGCATTGGCCGTGCATTTGAGCGCATGCTGGTGATGGTATCGCGGCAGGCCTGCAGCAAGACACCGTGCACTCTTTTTAACGGCCGCTGCGAGAACATGCCAGAGTGAGCGTCTTTTGATCGGAATGTTGGCGCTCCAAGCGTGGTTGTCACCTCCAGATTTTCACCATCTTTTACATCTTGCCGTTTTTCACACTGCAGGGATAAGCCACGGCTGCATGTCAAGATCGCTGACTTTGGTCTGGCCTGCATGCTTGGGCCTGCCAAGACGCTGGCCGTGTCCAAGGTGACCAACCCACGCTGGAGCGCGCCGGAGGTCATACGTGACAGCAGTGTCTCCACCAGCGCCGACGTGTTCAGCTTTGGCATTGTGATGTGGGAGGTCCTCACCTGGGCGCAGCCCTACGAGGAGATGATGAGCGTACAGGTGGCAGGGCTTGGTCCTGGGCGCGCAGCGGCTGGTGCCTGTGGATTGGAAAACCGTTGCACTTTTCTGACCCCTGAGAGATGATAGCCCCTGCGAGGCTTGCGCCCTTACCATGAGAGATGATAGCCCCTGCGAGGCTTGCGCCCTTACCATGACTGCTTGTCAACGTGATGTGCACTCCCCTTTTGTACTGTCATTCCTCTGACCTTGAGCCGCTGCCATACGACCCCCCCACCAGGTGCTGTTCAGCGTGATGCAGAATCTGCGCCCCCTGGTGCCAGACGATGCTGACCTGCCAGGCCGCCCTGGGCCCAGCCTGCAGGCCTACAAGGACCTTATGGAGGCCTGCTGGCAGGAGGACGCGGAGAAGAGGCCGAATTTCGAGCAGATCGTGGAGCGCCTCGACGAGATGCGCAACAGCAACCGCGCCGCGCGTATGGCAGAGCGTGCGGCTGCGGGCGAAGCCGGCAGCCGCCGAACCAGCTGCAGTGGTGAGTCCACGCTGTCGTCACCCCAGGCATCACACGTTGCCTCCACCTTTGGCAGCGGCCGGTCCCAGGCCACGGACGATGTGGCGGGTCGTGGTGCCGCAGATAGCACCACAGGCCGTGGCGCTGCAGACAACCCCCCCTCCACTCGCGGCGCCGTTGATAGCGCCACGTCGATAGAGGACCACACCAATGCTGGCGCGTCCGCGTCCGCAGCGGCGACGAGCGGGGCCTCGCGGCGAGGCAGCAGCAGCACCAGGCCGGGGTCTTACAGTGCAGCGAACGCGGTGGACGACGGCGCGTCTTCAGCCCCGCACTCGCCGCACAGCCCGCCTGGGGCCTTTGGCGGTTCAGAGCCCTCATTTGCAGCATTTGCCACTGGAACATCCAGCTTTGGCGGCTCTGCAGTGGTCAGCAGCTGCAACTTCGGCTTCGGCACGCACACTGGTGGGGAGCCCCCGGTGCAGCAGATGCAGTACGCCACCATTGAGGCGCTGCGGGCACCCAGCCGCACGCCTAGCCGCCTGGGTCGCGGCAGCACGGTCGCGCCGGGCAGCGCTCTGGGCCTGCCCCCCATCATCACGTCAGTAGGCACGCCAGGCGGATTCGGCGCGCCCATGCACAGCCCCCGTGTAGGCCAAGCACGCCCCTCCAGCCCTTTCGCCCAAGCCGACCAGCAGCAGCAGCAGCCGCAGCAGCAGCAGCACCATCAGCGACCCTCGTCCGCGCACGGCTCAAGTCCGTTTTCAGTACCGGCGCTGTTGCCACCATCAATTTCGCCGCTGCCGCCGCCGCCGCAGCAGCAGCAGCAGCAGCACCAGCAGCAGCAGCAGCAGCAGCAGCAGCCGTTGGTAGAGCGGCCACCAGCAAAGCAGCAGGAAGTTGGCTTGTGTCGTGAAGCGGATCAGCAGCAGCAGCAGCAGCAGCAGCAGCAGCAGCAGCAGCAGCAGCAGCAGCAGCAGCAGCAGCAGCAGCAGTCCTTCACTGCGGCCATGCAGCACAATGGCAACACACCGCATGCGCAGCCAGCATGTGTGGCAGTGCTGCCGCAGCGGCCGTCGAGCCCCTTGGCGGCGCAGGAGCGGCAGCTGCCACCAGTTCAGGTGCGGCCGTTGCGCCCGACGAGCCCTGGCTTGGCTGTTGAGGTGACAAGCCCGTTCAGCCAAGTACAGAAAAGCAGTCCGTTTGCACAAGCACAGGCGTCAAGTCCGTTCAGCCAGGTACAGGCAGGTGTGAACGACATGCCGCCGCCATTCAACACATCCAATCAGCAGGCGTCACTACCTGAGCCTCAGCCTCAGCCTCAGCTGCAGCCTGTGCTTCTGCTCCAAGCACTCCCTCGAGTGCAGGTTGCAGAGCCGTCCTCTCCATTTGCGGCCTGCCAGGCACAGCGGCCTTCCTCACCGTTCGCGGCGGTGCAAGGACCCGACATAGCAGGGTTACCAGCTCGGCGGCCAGCAGGGGGAGCGGCGTCTGACGCGGCAGTTGCTTCAAGCACTGGTGGAGCATGCGTCGACGGCACCCTCAGCAGCGGGGATCTGGCCGGCCGCACGTCCCCTGGTGGCAAATGGGCCAGTCCCTTCTCCACTGTCAATCCAGTGTCACTGACAGCGGCTGGCTTGCACGGCGGGGTGGCAGCAGCGGAAGCATACCAGGCTGTTGCTGGACGTGGCAGCATAGGTTGGTCAGCCAGAGGAGCGGCAGGAGCTTCTGGGGAAGCGGCAGGGGCAGCTGCAGGGGCAGCTGCAGGGGCAGCTGCAGGTGCAGCATCAGCAGCATTAGCGGCCGAGGAACCAAGCGGGTGTCGTGAGGAACGCCTGAACCCGCAAGTGGGCAGCGCCGCACTTCATGATGACAGCAGATCTGGTGGCGATAGCTGGGCAAGGTTGGGCGGTAGTGTGTTTGCGCCCCGCGTTCATGAAGAGGGCAGTGTGGTGGGCTCAGCTCAAGGTCAGCGCCCGCCAGCGAGCGACCCAGAAGTAGTGGGATCCTTTGTGTGCTTTGCAGACACACCTGCTCTCAATCGTTTGCGCAAAGAGCAGGACCAGCCTCTGCCTGCAACTGACTCGCTGACGTTTCCCGTCACAAATGGGCACACCAACAATACGCACTTGTGATTATGCTCTGACCTGCATGTAGATTCCAACGTTTTGCCCCCTGTACACTGACTGTCCTTGCACCCGCCTTGCATGGGCTTTGCTCGAGGAATATTGCAGCATCCCGTGCATGCCCACTTTGTGAGCCTCGCTGCGAATGCTGCCTTTTGTTTCTGTCTTTGCTGCTGTTCATTCATCCTGGTTGTTGCGCCGTGTGCAACGCTTCCTTTTGTAAACGCAGTTCACGCATGAGTCATACACGCGTGGTTGGGATGAGAGGTTGTGGCTTGCTGAGCCAAGGGATGCAAGCTATCTACGCACCTTTTGCGCAAACTGTGGACAACCAGGGCCGCTTTCCGACGACACGCCATGTCTCAACACAGAAGGTGGTTTTGGTGTCCAGGGCTTGGGGTTGAGAGCGCACCGCTCTGGCAGCGGCGTGGCGCTTCTAAGCTGCTATGTCGCAGCTTGAGCACGCACGGGAGTGTGAGCGGGCGCAGCGCGCGTATGCCCAATCTCAGGGTAGGGTCTAGGTTTT